TCAAAATTTCAAAGCATTATGTTTTATATCCAATGAAATAAGTCTAACGTTTGACGTTAATATAACTTTTTATATTAAATTTTTATTTAAATTTCTAAATGATTTATTTTTTTCCATAAGCATTGAGGGAGTATTTTACATACAAAGTTGTTCATTTTATATATCAATAATTTTAAATGTAAACAACTTTTCCCAATAAATGCTTAAACCAAATACCCTCAAAGTCTATTTAATAAGCATTAAAACAATTGTACCAGTACTAAATAATTAATACATTTTTGATCAATAATAATTAAATGAATAATTTAGTTATAATAGAAATGTATACTTCAAACAGATTTAGTGATTAAGTACTGGATTTGTAAGCTTTTAGTTAGTGGTAACGGGTGTTGTCGCTGATGGACCGGTATATCCACACGCGAGTCCATCCCATGTATAGTCCGATAGACAACCGCACGAGTAGTTCCCGTGATTACCACTACTGGAGGGCAAACATATTTCAGGACAGGTATGGGTCCGGCATTTGTTAGCGCCATCCGGTTGACGCGATTTGTGTATAATTTTAAAGGCATTTATATCGACACCCGATTGTAGGACCGTATGAACTACCGGATCCTCATACGACAACTTTTTCATATACATGCGACTAATCGTATGGTCTCTACTGTCTGTCCAATAGATGTAATTCCCGATTATATTCATAGTGGCGATCGGACTGTCCGGAAATGTATCTTCGGACGAATGGTGTCTCTGCCTACCGGTGCCGTCGTATCCAATAGAATACAGACTAATAACCGTCGAGTGATATGTCTTTTTGCTCATCCAATAAATACGTTTAGTCTTAACGTCAATATTGAGGGTATTCTTGAGTATGTATTCCGAGTGGACGATCACACGAACTCCCTGTCCATCCTGAGACGATTGCATTATACGACTTGGCACTCGATAACCGACTATAATGATCACGGTAAATTTATGTAGTATTAATTTACATTGAGTATATTGATCATGAAAATGTCAACTTTTAAGATATTCACTCCAAACAAGTATCGACTGAATCGGATCCACACATATGTCTTGAATAATACACGATTCGCGCGCAATCACTGGGAAATGGAGTTTGTTTGGCGCCGACATATTCATTGCAAATATACCGTTTTTGGTGGAACTACACATCGATATGTATCGTATACTATGTATCCAGTCATTACCCAATGACATGTCATAACAACATTAATGTGTTGGACACACATTCAAACACTGATTACTAACCGGTTTATAAATAATACAAATATTATATTTACTTGAACAGACAATTGTTTATAAAAATACTAACTCTAAGATACTGTACTGTACTAGTTCATATAAATTATAATTATTCCCATCACTCTATTGATACATTGATAGACAATCGCGCGGGTAGGTATGGGCCTGTAATCTGACACAATTTGTGTATTAATTAATTTTTTATGCATAATAAATACATATAATTATAATCAAGTAAATAAGTTGAACTTTAACTTGAAATTGAAATAAGTAGCATATAATTATATAATTCAATAATTGTTACTTTAACATTTTTAATAAAATAATCTCTAGATTTACCATGGCTTCTCATATTATGACATATAATATGTCGCCTGACGATGACCTGGTTCACATATTTTTGACTTATAATCATCCTATAATATGGCGCTTAAATTAATGTCATTTTAGTTTATATTAAAATTTCGCAAATAGTGCTGTATAATTGCCAAATAAAATAATAGTAAATAAATTTTGAATAAAAATATTTTATTAATAGTGCTAATTAAATGAATATATTTTTTATAAATAGTAAATTTAATTACAATATATGAAAATAACATTAATTATTAATTTTGAGTTTATTTAATTAAATTAATAAAACATAATCAATACAAACAACACAATTTAACAACATATAAAAATTATACCTAAATAATAACAAGCATAATTTATAAATTATAACAAATAGCATATCAAACAATAGTGCCTCAAATGGCCCGCACGTGGGACACGTCGGGCGGGGCGGAGGGCCTACTCTTATAGATCTTCGGGTAGAAGCGCTTCTGTATCTCGTCGATTGACTGGCCTTTAGTTTCGGGCAAATAAAAAATGAACAAGGTGGACAGCACGCAAATGCCCGCAAACATCCAGTAGGCGCCGTACTTGTGGGCCACTCGGGCCAAGTCCTCAAACTCCTTGGTCACCACAAACACAAATAGCCACACGAATACAGAGCACGTGGATTGTATAAAACCTACATAAGCCGTGTTACAGATCTCCGTAATAACAATCCATATGACGGAACTAAAGCCGATGGAGTAGGCGCTCACAAACACCCCCAAGCATATGATGGGCAGTGCGCTGGACTCCGGGTGCGCCGACACCTCCGTAGCCGTAATGTACGGGTCTAGTAGTGATGACAGTGTGCTGGTGGTGGTGAGTGGGTTGACTGTGGCACCGGTATCCGAGCCCGAGTTCTTGTAGTAATAATAGCCCAAAACAGCTAAACTTATCGCATGTCCCGTTCCGCTCACTATTAGCAGTATCTTACGGCCCAAACGGTCTATCAGTGCACAGCCTATAAGGGTGGCCACAAACATACTACAGTTGACTACAATGACCGCGTACTTAGGCTCCATGGATGACCCTGAGTCTATGAATATCTGGTTCATGTAAAACTGTATGGCATTAATGCCGGAAAATTGCTGGAAAAAGCACAATAGTATGCCTATTATTAACGGCTTATACACGTCTTGACGGGCCAGTAGTCTAATGCTAAAACCCGAGGCCTTTTGTGACTGAATGCTGAGCACCTGTTCCTCCAATTCGTCCAATTCCTGGTCGATATCGCTGTTGGGGTGCCGGAGCTGATGGAGGGCCTCGACTACCCGTAAACAGCGGCCAAACTTCAACATAAGCCAATTGGGCGACTCCGGGATGAAAAACATGAACAACGACAGGAGCACTGATGGTATTATACCGCCAAAGGCTACCCAATTCCACGGTAACCATATGCTCAAGATATCCATGTAAAGTATGCCGAACACTCCGAAAACCTACGCAAAGTTAACTTGGTTATTTGTATAATTATAATTTTTATGCTTACTTTGAATGCCATTCCCAACAAACCCCTGATATTTGGTGTCGAAATCTCGGTTACGAATGTGGGAACAGACACTAAAAATGCATTTCCATAAATATATTTAATTTTGCTTGATAATTTTTTAATTTAATTAAAATGTTCACCTAATATAACACCAGTGCATATGCCAGTGACTATACGACCAACAATTAGTAGCCATACTTCGCGTCCAAAACTTTAAAAATTAATTATTTTTATATTATACTGTATTTCATTGATAATTATTAGATTAAGGGAATACCTCATCAACAGATAGCCCGCCGTAGAGGGAAAGCCTAAATATAATAACGTCCGCCGGCGGCCAAAGTACTCGATACAAAAACCTATTCAATGATCAAATATTTTAAATTTTAAAATAAATAGCAAATTAAAATTTAATAAAAATAATCAATAACTTATTTTATAATAACTTTTAAAATGTTATTAATTTAGATTTTCAGTACCAAACTTAAACTATTATTTAATCTTATTACAAAATTTAAATTCCTATTTACATAACTTAGAAATTATATAATTATTAAATTTAACAAAAAAAATATTGATAGAAAATAAAAATTGATCTTGTATATAAGCCATATATCAATATAATTGGTCGACAAATAAAAAAGTTGTGATATTTTGAAATATACCGAAAATCTACAGGTTGGACCATATTTTTGTATTTTTAATCATAATTCAGAAATTTTGTATAAAAACTTTTAAAATTATTGACTACACTGTAGATACAGACAAAAAGGTTTTGACAGTTTTTTTCGTATGGCCTAGTTGTTTAATGTAAATATACTCAAATGTATATATTTACCTCCAATTATTCCCCCAAATAATGCCCCCAATGTCACACAGGAGCCAATCCATGTTTTAATATCAGTATCATGGTCACTATTCGTTAGACGGGGCTTACTATCACTGCGGGCCATATCTGCCAGTGCCGGTCCAGTCCAGCCTAATATTATCATAACATTTATAAACCAAATAAACTAATTAATTATTTTTGTATAATTATCACACAATTATAAACAAACCTAATGAACAGCCAAATAGTATGGACCCCATCTGTGCCGCCAAACACGCCATGTATAGCTTGGCGGAGGGAAGCCGTCTATTTTCCGACTGAATTCCCATTATTTAATTATAAAACACAATTTAAAAAATAGATTTTTAAGATTTTTGTTTTTGTTTTGTCATAACTATACTGTGGGAAATACTGTGAAATAAGTATTAATTCAATTAACACTGATTTCATTTTTCTAATGAAATCTTATGTTTATAATAATAATAATTCACTTTAATTTGGCTGAAATTGATTATAAAAATCAATGGTATTTAATATTACTAGTAAAAGTTATTCAATAACTGATAGCATATAGTATAGTAATTGGTATTATTATATGTCATCTATTAAGTTATCGCTTAAGCGTTAATGCGACGATTAATTGAGATAGTTGAGTTAGTTATTATACAGTAGTATAATAAGCCCAAAATTATTTGCATCTTTTACATAAATTTTCAGTATAGTAATTTAAGGCAATTGTTGGCAAGGTAATTTAAGGCACCGTAAGGCAATTGTTGAGTGAAATGAATGTCAATAAATGTTGTTTAGAAATATTTTATTTATAGTACAAATTAAATAAATATAATATTTAAAATAGTATACAATAGTTTATTATAACATCGATATGTGGAAATAACATTTAATTATTAATTTTTAGTTGAACATTTATAAATTAAATTAATTAAACAAATTAATGCTTTCAGTAAAATTTAACAACATATAAAAATAAAACCTAAATAATACCAAGATTAATTCATACGTCAATCACACAATAGTGCCTCAAATGGCCCGCATATGGGACTCGTCAGGTGGGGCGGAGGGCCTATTCTTATAGACCTTCGGGTAGAAGCGCTTCTGTATCTCGTCAATGGATTGGCCTTTAGTTTCGGGCAAATAAAAAATGAACAAGGTGGACAGCACGCAAATGCCCGCAAACATCCAATAGGCGCCGTACTTGTGGGCCACTCGGGCCAAGTCTTCAAACTCCTTGGTCACCACAAACACAAATATCCACACGAATACAGAGCACGTGGATGTGATAAAACCTACATAAGCTGTGTTACAGATCTCCGTAATGACGATCCATATGACGGGACTGTAGCCGATGGAGTACGCGCTCACAAACACCGCCATACATATGATAGGCAGTGCGCTGGACTCCGGGTGCTTCGACACCTCCGTAACGACATCCGGGTCCAGTAGTGACGACAGTGTGGTGAGGGGACTGGCGGTGGTACCGGTATCTGATCCCGGGTTTTTGTAGTAATAATAGCCCAAAACCGCTAAACTTATCGTATGTCCCGTTCCGCTCACAATCAATAGTATCTTACGGCCCAACCGGTCAACCAGTGCGCTGCCTATAAGGGTGGCCACAAACATACTACAGTTGACTACAATGACCGCGTACTTAGGCTCCATGGATGACCCTGAATCTATGAATATCTGGGTCATGTAAAACTGTATGGCATTAGTGCCGGAAAATTGCTGGAAAAAGCACAACAGTATGCCTATGAGTAACGGCTTATACACGTCCTGACGGGACAGTAGTCTAATGCTAAAACCCGAGGTCTTTTGGGACTGAATGCTGAGCACCTGTTCCTCCAATTCGTCCAATTCTTGGTCGATGTCACTGTTGGGGTGTCGGAGCTGATGGAGGGCTTCGACTACCCGTAAACAGCGGCCAAACTTCAACATAAGCCAATTGGGCGACTCCGGGATGAAAAACATGGACAACGAGAGTAACACTGAGGGTATTATACCGCCAAAGGCTACCCAATTCCAGGGTAGCCATAGGCTCAGGATATCCATGTAAAGTATGCCCACCACTCCGAAAAGCTATGCAAAATTATCTTGATTATTTGTATAATTGTTGCGTTTTCATTGTATTTGATACTTACGTTGAATGCCATTCCCAACAAACCTCTAATATTTGGTGTCGAGATCTCGGCCACAAATGTGGGAACAGAACCTGAAAAGTATTTTTGAGTCATATTTGATTATTCAGTTGTGCCTGATAAGTTAATTATCAAATTTAATTGATATGTTCACCTAATATAACACCAGTGCATAAACCGGTGACTACACGGCCGGCAATTAGTAGCCATACCTCTTGACCAAAACTTGAATCAAATCTTTTTATGAATTTTTGATAATTATAATTAAGTTTAGAAAATACCTCATCAACAGCCAGCCCGCTGTATAGGGAGCGCCTAAATATAATAATGTCCGCCGCCGACCAAAATACTCGATACAAACACCTATTCAAGGAACAAATGCTTTAAAATAAATAATAACTTGATAATATAATTTATAACTGTTTCAATAAGAAATTTGTTTAAAATGTTATTCATTTAGATATTCATTACTAAACTTGTATTATTAAATCATATTGAAAAAATCAAATCTCTATTTAATTTTTACATAACTTAGAAATCACAGAATTATTAAATTAAGTAAAAATAAGTACATATTATAAGTTTATCAGTACTGATAGAAAATGAAATTATTCCGATAAATGTAGCCTGATATTTATGCTTACAGTGAAACTCTAAACTCTATTTGTACTTAAATTGTAGTGTATTTTAGTTTTTAAAAATAAAATATTAAAATGTAGGGAAAATGTACTTAAAAATAAATAATTAATTTCCACATCAAAATATACAACAAGCTACAATATATTAAAACTACAATCTCTATGGAAATATACCTCCAATTATGCCCCCAAATAGTGCACCCAATGTCATACTGGAGCCAATCCATGTTTTAATATCAGTATCATGAGCACTATCCGTTAGCCGGGGCTTACTATCACTGCGGGCCATATCTGCCAGTGCCGGTCCACTCCAGCCTTATATTATCGTAACATTTTATAATCCAAATAAAATAAATAATTTTTTAAAATAAACAAATTATCACACAATCATTAACACACCTAAGGCACAGCCTAATAGCACGGACCCCATTTGCGCGGCCAAACACGCCATGTATAGCTTGGCGGAGGGAAGTCGTCTATTTTCCGCCTGAATGCCCATTATTTAACACACTATATAATTATGAAACACAATTAAAAAATAAACTATTGAGAGTGTATTTTGTGTTTTGTCATAACTATACTATGTGAAATACTAAGCATCAATTCAATTAGCACTGATATCATGTTTTAATGTCACCTCATTATCTATTAATGCACTATAATGTGAATAGCTCAATTATGAACTATAATATAATATATATATATAGTTACTATATTTTTAATGTTAAAGTTTGTAACAAAAAAATGTTTTGCGTAATGAAATTGATTATAAAAATCAAAACTATTTATCAGTAAAAAGGTATTCAATAACTGATAGCAAATAATAATTAGTACTATATATCATCGATTGAGTAATCGCATAAGCCTTAATGCAATAATTAGTGCTATAGCTGGGTAAGTTATTAAAATAAAGTTAGTATGTACAAAACCAAACCTTAATAACCCTTATATATAACAAGCTTAAAAATAATATTTATAATAAAATACTTATAAAATATATTTTAATCAAAACAATTCTTATATTGCGAAATAATGTGTTATTGGTTTTGGTAATTAAAGTTATTTATAAAAATACATTGCTGCCTAATACATATATTGTATGTCAAAAACCTATTTTATAAAAATAAAAATAATAAAATCTAACATTTGATAACCTTGATCATATTTTTCTTATGTCACACACATAATTATTCAACTTTTAATTACCAATTATCACGATATGTTAGCATATATTTTGAATATTACTTTGAAAATAACACCAACTTTTTCATTGATTATCTGAATATTAAGATAATGTTTGCAATACTTATAGCCATTCTTATGAGTTATCAATGCATTGGTTGTGAAGACATTTGTTCAGTCATTGAATCCGTGGACAAATGGACAGACATTCGGCTCTATAATCAGCACTCAATTCGAGACAATCGGACTCAGAGTCGGCTTATAATGTACACGAAGTCCAAGGAATGGGAGGTTTGGGTCCACTCTAACCGTGTACTCAATCACAGCAATCGTGTCGCCGATAAAGACGAAGAGATTGTCATTAAGTTTGAAATCCCTATCCATTCGTCAAGAAATACAAAAATCTACTACAAGTGCACCGTTAGACAAGATAACAACTACCAGCCCTCCACTGACACCCTATGTTTGAATGGAAATCAGCGACAAATGTATCGTTCATTTAATATACACAATAAATCACTGATTTTTAATCCTAGTCCTAACGACTGGACAGACTATGTACTCGTAGTGGACACTAAACACACCGGTAGTTTAGCGCATAGCTATGGCAAACTATATTGGAACTGGTACCACCCAGGTGGCATTTATAATGACAACCCATTTATACACCGTTTATCACAACAATTGTGGGATAGTATTGAAAGTATCAGTGATTATACGGTAGGCATAGACTCGGGACATATACTGGTGTTTAAAATCAAAGGCATTCATATGTATTGTGTGCTCCCGTATGGCTATCCAGTGGCCAACCATTGTATGGACAAACATCTCAGACCATTATTTATGGACATTGACTGCAATACTAAAGATACAGATATAATAACACAGATATTAATCGGTATGTCATTCGTGGCGGTGATTCTCATCGCATTAGTGGCCATATTATGGAGGAAATGGTGTCGACCGGTGCTGTCGAGTGAAACGAAACTACATTTCAAACTAAACTCTAACCACAAAGTGGTGAGAAATGTGAGCAACTTATCCAACATAACCACTGATACCTCGAGTCAAGTGATTAATAAACTAGTTGTCAACCAATTGCATACCAGTGCTGCTAACCCACCCGGTTTAGCCTTGATACTACAGGAATCGGGCAATAATTTACGGAAAAATTCGTATAAAATTTAAATAAATAGCTTTTTTGACAAACTTAAGCAATGAAAGTTAAATTACTTTATATTATCTTGATATAAACTTCAATATTGGTATATCCATGTACTGTACATATTTCATTATGTTGCCTGACGATGACATTGGTCACCATGGTATTGATTAATCAAGTGTCACATGATTTAATTTTATTTGCTAGCTAGTTACTATTGAATTTTGACTTTTTAATAAAAACGGACTCCCTTTCAGTACAGGATTCCCGGCCCTCACTTCAAAAGTTTATTTATTTGTTTTCATTTGTATTAAACTATTCATCAATTGATTTATAAGGAATTGACATAAAATGCAAACAATTTGTTTGATTTTAAAGAAACAAGTGTTGAGTGAATGAAATGTTTGTCTTATTTTGAGATATTCTTTCAGTTTGTCTTTGATTTATGTTTTATGTGTTAGAAATAACTCATGAGATTGTTTTACATCTTATTATCAATTTAATGGTCAGATTTTGTAATTCATTGAAAACTAATCGCAAGAATTAAATCATATTATTATCAAAAGTAGTATTTTAGTCATTGCCTCATACATTAGATTTATTTTATATGTAAAAACATATCGTAAGAAATCAAATGAATTTATAAATGGTTGTAATATTTGTATCAAATATCTCGTGATTATGTAAACAAGTGTGAGTTTCGTTAATGTATTTTCCTAATGGTTTTGACTTTTTTTAAGGACCAGTTTATTTTTAAAACTATAATAATCTTGAGTTTTAACACTATATCCATTCATAACACAAATACTTTGATTTGATTTCACTCTCAAAAGGCTTTTGTATTTCCGAGTGAATAGACGTTTGAATTTCAATCGAGAGATCAGTTGAAAAGTCTTAGCGTTTGTGTCAACACTAATGGGAGATATGAAGAAGTTTGTGGACGGAGTGAGAGATACCGTACGCACCCATGCGGTCACTACACTCGTGGGCCTCACGTTCGGAGCACTGGTAGCCTATTGTGCCATCAAGTCCTCAAAGTAATAGCACTTGTATTACGAGTTTGTCTAAACAGTTTGGCCCAAAATATGCCATAAAAATAAAAACAATTCAAAATAAATAGACTTTTTATGATTGAAATTACTTTATTTAAATGTTTATCAAAATTATATGAGAAATAAAATGAGATTTCTATATTATAATTGTTTTATTCATAGATTATGTATTGATCTAAGGTTTAGAAATTATAGTAAAGTATCAATAATTCGGTACTTGTGGACAGGGGTTAGAAAAAGGTTATGTAAAAATATCATGTAATTCAAAACTCATTAAATTAACGGTATTTCAGTATAGATTACATAACTATAAATAAAATCGAGAATCCATTCATGAATCGCAAGATTTTTATACAAACTTTGAATTTAAACACAGAATTCATATAAAAACAAACACTTTAACGGAAACCAAAATCAGTTGCGAATAAAATACTTACAAAACACTTGAAATATTAAAACACAAAACATTTGCAAACATTTATTGTGTAATTCATTGAAAGCCCAGAATCTAGTGAACAGACTATGAAGACTCCCGGAGATGACGTCTCAAAGACCAGCTCCTCGTCCTCCCAGTCCTCTGTCTCCGAGGGCTGTAAGTGTGTCGGACATACTGTCCTCCCGTTCCTAGCGGGGGTGACGGTCGGCGCCGTTGTTGTCTACTGGTGTGCCAAATGCTATAAACAATGAATACAAGAATCTATTTGTCGTGTATTTCATCCAAATTTTATCTCAAAATCTCATAGTTTTTCGAAATATAGTTTATTTTGTATCGAAATGTTTGCTCAAAATTAGTATTAAATGAGAAATAAAATATGATTTTAATGTCGAAATATAATCAATTATTTTTATTTGTTAATAAGTTATATAAAATATGGTTTTAAATACTAATTAAATTGTATGCAATTTGGTTGACAATAAATATCAAAATATAAAACATTTGAAAACATTTTGTAAAACAAATTCATATGATTTAAGATATAAACGGGAACTGGAGGTCAATAATGCATTCACTGTACAGTCTCTGCAGATCTTGCAGTGGTTCCCTCACTACCTACAGGTGCCGCCCCTTTGGACTCATTGACCGCTTGCCGACCCTTTGGTTGACCAGATTTGGCAGACTTTGTCACAAATAGTAGGACTACTCCTATGACCACCAAAACCAATACGACAATCACGACAACCAATAGAAACCAATGAAACGGTTTGAGTGCCGACTCGTTGGCGAGGGAATTGGGCGCAGATGTGGGACGGGATGTCATATCAGACGGCATACCAGCGGGGCTGACAGATGTGTCATCAGGTGGGTTACCGGTGGGGGTATCAGAGACTATAGAAGTAGTAACAGTTGTGATATCGGAAGTGTCGACAGAAAGGCTCACATCGGGTGCGGTATAAGGAATGGTATGTGTAGTAACAGGAGGGTTACCGGTGGAGGTATCTGAAACTACAGGTGCTGTTGTACTGTGGAAGCAGTGTTCGAACAATGGCTTCAGATTACTTTCCGCGCACTCGACCGACGCATACCTTCCCTGAGGGACTACACAATACATGGGCTCACCATTAATGCGGAACAGGATTACGTGTCCCTTCTCATCAACCCTTGGCGTCTGGTCGTCATAATCGGTGATACTCTCGACGTGTGGCCACAGGTGGTCCGGTATGTCGTCCACAAATGCCTGGGCGTATGCCGTATAATTGAATGGCTCGTTGGGGTATTTGTGATCCCAATCGGGGGACATATCGTTCAAAACCTCGACAACCCGGCTGTTATTCGGGGACACAATCACCGCAATAGCGTAGTTGGCATCGGCTTTCGGTTTGAATACTAGACTATTGGGTGGCCAGGGATCACTTCTGTTATTGGCCCCACCGGGCGGATGGCACCCAAACCTGGGCTCATCGGTATCGCCAGCCATGGGTTTCAAGAGCGCACACATCTTCAGCTGCACGTCAGGCGGCTGTGGATCAGGCAGTGAAGGGGTGTCGTAGTGAGGGTCTAATGGTTTGGCCGACCCTATCGTGTATTGGATGATAATGGATCTCCATTTGTCCACCAATCCGATGGGAGTGTAGGTGTTAATGGATTGATAGGTGACATTGACACGGAATGGCCACTCCTTGGTCGTGGTGTACATCATGGGCTGGTTGAGGATACCGGTGCCGTCAGCATTGAGTGTCCGCTTATTATAGAGACGAATGCCTTCGTACTGACCGTTGGGTGCGATCACTGAACAGATGTGTTGACTCTGAACCCAATGGACACTCACGAGAATCACTACACAAATGGCAAACATTTTCTGATTAACTGATAGTTAGTGTGAAGAAGTCGTTATACTATTAGAAACAGATTTAATAAGTAAAACTGATTTTTCGATCATTTAAATGACTAATCCATTCATTAATCGCGAGATTTAAATACAAGTTTTAAATTCAAACACAGAATTCATATAAAAACTAAGTCTCAAACGGAAACCGAAATCAGTTGCCATTGAAATACAGACAATAAGACTAAGACTTGAAATACATTTCCAATCGTTTGTGTAATTCATTGAAAGTCAAGAATATGCCGGGAATTCAGTCGAAAATCTCAAAAGGGGTCGAAAAGACCAAATCCGAGGCCTCCCATGCCTGCGGCAAAGGCAGAGATATGGCTGTCAAACACGGGCTAACATTCCTGGTGGGGGTGACCGTCGGCGCTGCCGTTGTCTACAGTTATATTAAATACTCGCAGAAATAGGCGTCCAATGAATACAAAGAATCCGTATTTCATCGCAAAATTATCGCTCAAAATATCCTTTAAATTGTGGTTTTCATATCAAAAATGTTTTCTCAAAATTAGTAATAAATGAAAAATAAAATATGATTTCCTTTTAAAACAAATGTTTGACTGTTTATTAACTCATATAAAGTTTTTAATTAAGATTTTTATATTAAATAATTTAAAAGTTTGATTAATGAATGCAATAAACTCTGTCATTGGAAATTTTTTACTAGTTTCGTGAATAGCAGGGGCAAGATAATCTCCGAATTAAGACCTAGTTTATCGGCAATACTCATGGCACCGGTATTATTGTCTAACGGTTCATATATCAGTCCATTTACCACCATTTCCGGCAAGTTATCAATGAGTTTTCGGCCACAGAATCGCTGCCGGTATACAATGGGCCGACTCTACCGTTCCCATCGATACAATCAAATGTGTATCACACCATAACCTATCACCTGATCACCGCTCTTATCGATGGCTACCAGTGCTCTACACTCCGAGTCACTAAACATACGTCAAAATTGTAAATTACACAAAATAATAAGACATTAATTCACGCCTAATATCACGCGAAGCACCCATTATTGAGATAACTTTTGAATTACTCACAGAATTTCTATCACTGAAAACCAACTGTGGATTCAATTGTGGTGACAATGTCTGCAGCGCTTGTGATAATAATTCTTCTGGTGATCATTGAATGCATTGACAGCAAAGACTTCTGCGAAGACAGCAAACGGATTGACATCTGGGAAGACATTCGTGTCTATGATCACCGCTCGTTTAATCCAAAATACAATCAGCTTATGATGTATACGACGAACAAACTGTGGAAAGTATGGCTCGAGTCGACTACCGGCGCCCTGACGTACGGCCCCATCGAGGAGTTTGACGGCAAACACCTGTACAACGTGTTCAGTCTACCCAATGAGCACCGTATGCACCAGTGTTTCGTATACCAGCCCCACGTCGACCCCGACAGCAAAATGGTGACCACCAAATGCTACACCGGGAGCTTAGCCTCATTGGTAGGCAACGGCGAGTACCGGCGCCCGCTCAAGAAGTACCTATTTTTCGACTCCACACCCAATGATACCGAGTCTTACGTGTCGATCGTGGACAGGGATGACCCCAACAAAGTCCAGTTCTATACGTATAGTATGCTGATTGCCGTTCAGCAGAGGTATACCCATCTGAAGTACAAGACGTACGAGTCCAGTGACCCGGTGAGTGTCAGCCAGTTTGTGAGACCCGAGTTTGTCAACCAACTGTCCAAAGAGTTATGGCATTCAATACAATCCATAGCCGACTATAATACGAGTGAAAGTTGTGGTCATATACTGGTGTTTCGGAGGGAAAGGAGTCACTGGTATTGTGTGATCCCTTACTTGCAAAGTGTGTCCGATCACTGTTTGGAAAGGCACCTCAAGCAACTGGTTATGTGCGGTAGTCTTCCCACTAATTATTGGCTATTAATTAGTTTATTATTAGTTTTTGTCATTTTTATGGCTATGGGCGCCGGTATTCTGATATTTGTTTATAAACTAACTGTCGATACAAAGTATGATAATGGGTCCCCCACTACCATTCATGTTATTCAATCTAATACCGTTCCCCTAAGTACTGGAAACTAATTAAAACATTTTAATATGTATTTAATTTATTTAGTGTCAAAAAATTATAGCATTTTTCCATTTCATAAGTAATTAAATTATATATTTTTGTATTCAACTTCTATTTACATTAAATATTTATAAAGTACTTCAAAACTTTTTAACAAACTTTTAATAAAAAATAACTTTTCCCAGCTTGGGGCGCGATCTCATGTCCCCTATACAGCTCCTATTGATTAACCTATATCTTAGCTATAGTTAGTGCGACACTCTAACCGCTACACCACTCTACTCCCAAACACCACCCTTTGCTAAAATATGCTTTTAAATAATTAAATAAGTAATTAAAAATATGTTTTTTTTTGTAAACTAGTATTTATAATTTATATTTAGAAAATAGCCTAAATATCACATTTTTATTTTTAATTTTATTTTTAAGATTACTACTCGATATAAATGAATCAATACTACAGACACTAACTTATGATTTAATGTTTTATTAAATCTAGCATACTTATTAAACATTTCAATAATCACAAATAAATCTTAATCGTTACAAAAAGTATTTTTAAAATTCTTTATTATCTAAATATTCATGTAAATAATATTTTTTTACATTAATTCAAATAAATAATATTTATATAATGTGTAAATAAACACAATTTTTATTTCTAAACTACATGAACTAGTTCATAACACAATCACTTAAATTACTAGTTTAAATAAATTAAACGTAACAAAACAATACTGTAATGTGTAAATAAACACAATTTTTATTTCTAAACTACATGAACTAGTTCATAACACAATCACTTAAATTACTAGTTTAAATAAATTAAACATAACAAAATAATACTGGCAAAGTTAACATTTTCAAAATAACCTAGTAGGGTAATAAATTAGTTAAACAAGGTTCAAACAGTGAGCGCGCCACCAAACAGCTCGTAGCCTCGTGGACAGGTAGTTCTGGAAGGGTAGTCACACTCCTTGACATTATTGTTCCACAACAGGCCATCGGGACAGGGCTTTACCACTGGAGTACCGGAGCGACTGCCGTAGTTAACCGTGCAGTGGATGTATGTGTCGCAGCCATCCGGGTTAGGGTAGAGACAGTCCTTAGGGCCTAAGCATAGGGTGCGTATGATGTCCTCTACGGGGCACTGGAAACCTGGTTTCGGTGTAGTTGTTGGGCGTCTAGTGGTGGGCCGGGTAGTCAGTGGCCGGGCAGTAGTGGGATGGATAGTAGTAGGTCTTTGTGTGGTGCTGATGGTAACGGGTGCGGTGGTCGGACAGACGCATACACAGCCGTCAGTGGTTGAGATGGGAGCCAATGTTGTAGACTATCCGGCCGCGCAACAACATCCAGACCCGCATCCGAAAAGTCACCAGCATCACCAGCCGGACCCTCAACCAAAAACTCATCATCACCAGCACCCAGACCCCCAACCGAAGACTCAACATCACCAAGTGGTGGGTCTGGGTGTTGGCTTTTCAGTGGTAGTAGTAGTGGGTCTTGGAGTGGGTTTCTGGGTCGTAGTGGGTCTGGGAGTAGGCTTTTCAGTTGTAGTTGACCTGGGAGTAGGCTTTTGAGTAGTCGTGGTTGTGGTGGGTCTCGGAGTCGGCTTTTGGGTGGTAGTAGTGGTAGGCCTTGGAGTAGGCTTTTCTGTTGTAGTGGTTGTAGGTCTGGGAGTAGGCTTTTGAGTTGTAGTAGTCGTGGGTCTCGGAGTCGGCTTTTGGGTAGTGGTAGTTGTGGTTGGTCTGGGAGTAGGTCTTTGAGTAGTCGTGGGCTTAACGATCACACAACCGGCCACTTCTGGACGTTCGCAAGTCTTAGTGCGTGGACTGAAGTGTAGACCTCCCGGCGCGCAGGGCATGTCGTACGCGATGGAGGCGTCGTTACACTGTATAAAACGACTGCAATCGCGGGGATTGGGATATAAGCAGTCTTTGGGTCCCAAACACTTCGTGCGGGCGATCTCTCGCGGCGGACAGGGATAGCCAGGTATGATGGGCCAGTCGTACGCTAATAGACAAATTTAGTGATTATTATACGGGATTTAAACTACTGTTCCACTCGAGCCGTGGGTATACTTACAGACAGCGAGGGTTTGGGCAATAAGTGCCGCAAATAACACGGTTTTTGGCAAATAATTCATAGCGTATTGAATTAGTTAGTGATTTATATTTGTAACTTTAAAACTACTATTTAGTAGACTATGAGTGAATTACTCAGGCTAATTGTAGGTTTACTACTTGTTGATGTGGATCATTGTGTTTTTGGGAACTCGTATTTATATGAGAAATAGTTTTAGTGATCATATGTTATCTGATTTGATGTCAATTACCGTCTTTTGTCAGACAATCAGCCGATGATTGCATACGTATTCTCACCACACGTTTCGACTTAATCCTCAAAAATTAACGTTTTTTAGTTGTCATGTCGGATGTCTATCTATTACCTGGATTATCAAAACTGGTATAACCAAGCTGACATTTTTAATAGTGAGCTTTTAATATTTTAAAATAGCTAATTAGTTATAATAAAAATATATACCATGATAAAATTAAATGCATATTTTACAATGTATTTTTAATGAATGATTATGAATTAAAAATTAATTTTTAACTAAAAGTTATGAATAAATCAAAACTTATCAATGTCGTTATAATAGTCCCACTACTAAGCCAATGAATTAGTGGTTATTAATTTAATTTGATACTAAAGTCCTGTATTTCAATTATTCATTGTAAAAACGTTAACTTTTGAACTTGTAACCCGTACATTTGATAAAGGACCTTTTCGCACTCAGTGTTACATTGGACTCTCTCTCTCTCTCTCTCTCTCTCTCTCTCTCTCTCTNCTCTCTCTCTCTCTCTCTCTCTCTCTCTCTCTCTCTCTCTCTCTCCATAATTGCATTTTACGTATTATTAAAAAATCTGGAGTCAATAATTGCCAATTATGATATTTGTAATTAACATTATACAAAAACATGTTTACATTGAAAGGATTAATAACTAAGCTTTTACACTGAAAACAAATTAACCTATTACACTTTTTAGCGGATTCAAATCAGGATTTTTAAAAAATAAACTAGTTTAGCAAAAGTAATCAATATTTTTGTTTATAATATTTCTATAGTGAAGTGTAATAGTTAGGAATTTGTAAATAGATAGGTAGACAAATAAGTTTAATATTTTTTAATCAAATATTATATTTAAATAGTAAATATTTGTAATAAGAAAAATAAAATAATTATTATGTTTGTACTACATGATTTAATTTTTAGAAAATCATTTACATTAATATTACAGTATAATAACTTATTAGTATTAATCACCTGTATTAGTAATGCTGTATTTACTAAAATTTTATTCAATAGTATAAATACGGTAGCTGCAATATTTGTTATAAAATAAATCAAAATCACTATTTTAAATGAAAATATTTTTAAATAAGCAAACTCTAATGATAAAATAATGATAGTTATGCACATAATTACACCATTTATCAAATTACATCGTAAAATATTTCTTAATTGTTCAGGTTACGACATAAAATACTGAGTGAAATATTTTTATATTCATTAAATGCACATTTTGAATAAATAAGTTTATTTTAAGAAATATATTTTTCATTCGTATGTACTACAATATTGATTAGCAAATATAATAATAAATTCAAATAATATTTATTACAATTCATATTTATGTTAAACTTTATATTTGTGTAGGTTTAATACTAACTAAATATTAGTATGGATAAGTAATAAAACTAACATGGTATATAATACAACCTATTAATATGCATAAAGTTTATAATAAATTGACTAAACGCCTACAATTTATTAATGATTTAATTTACATAATTGGCGAAAGGTGCTATAAGTGTGGCTTTCCTAAGTTGAATACAAATTATGGGAACAGGAGCTACCATAGAGTGCTATGGGATGTGGCCGTGTATGTGGAGTTCATTAAGACCGCACTCGCACTGTACATATCCGATGAGCACCTGGCTACAATTATCGGTGAGTTCACCTATTACTGGGATTTTAAATACCAGTTCCGGTTCTCAGAGCTGTTGGCTATAGCATACATACTGTTTGCTATAATTTACTGCAATTATATGCATACGAGTGAAAGAATCCGGAATATTCTGGGGTTGAATAACAAACGGGTATTAATATCGCCTAAACTCCAGAAATACATGAATTTAATGTACAAACAAATGTGTTTGGGTTTTATTATGACATCTCTAATACTACCTTGCACACAATTTGTAATACACTATTCACTGCTGAATTTGCTTACATTTGGGTTATTCTGGACCGTAATGTTGGGGTTTGGGTTCAGCTATCCGTGGATTTTATACATATATCACATCGGATTCTTCGTGTGTTTCTGCTATCGATCCAAACTACAGATAAAACTACTGAACCATAGGCTCAACCATTATGTCAAACACCATTACTTGCCATCAAATCAACAGTTAATGAAACTCTTCTCAACCCATAACCAGATTTGCCAAATGGTGTGCGAATTGAACCAAATCTGGTCGTTATTATTACTATGCTTTTGGTTAGTATTTCTGGTACTCATAGCCTGCCTATCCATACAAATATTCACCCCTAATATGGACCCATTTCTGGTGATAGTGTTTGTGGTGTTAACCCTCTATGAAGTGATGTACATATCGAGTATATTACTGTTCGCCAGTTCAGTCAATACTGAGTCCAAACAAACTCATCAATTGTTTCACAGTTTGTATTCATTGATAGCTTTCAGTAAAACTAAATCCGCGATCACTACTCACAACAGACTAAAAGTAATGTTTTATTTATAAGTAAGAAATTTTAAAATTATTTAACATTTTTTAAATTTTACTCAACAGTTACAGACATTAATACAGGACACGTCTAAACATACAATCGGGTTTAGCATCTGGAAACTGTTCCTGATCAATCAATTCGCTTATTACGAGGTTTTATATAACTTTTGATGAAACTGTTCTAGATTATGTTACTTTTTAAATCATGTTTGCTGTAAATTATTTATAGTTCATCGGGATATCATCGGCGTTCGCCGTGAAAATGTTTTCGTTCTTGGTAAAGTAATTACTACGTTAAGTAATCACGACAAATTAATAATATCAGTGTCATTATTTATATGATTTTAATGCATAATTTCTAAAACTTATTTTAATAAATATTTTATTATGACTAACTAATTAGTGTACATTTCTAAATTGTATATAAATATTTATGATTTTGTAAATAAATGCATATTAAAATTAATTAGTTTAATAATTTCATTAATTACTATAGATTTTATTGACTAGTTTGATATTATTAGCAGCTATAATCTTTATAAATTAGTTTACTAAATACTTGTTATCATTGTCTGTATTTAATATATGATAAATAAAAATGATAAAAACCTTGATCAATATGTATGAATATACGGTATTTAAAAATTTAAATAAACAAATCATATAATAATGATATATTTGCACACAATTAAACCATTAATTATGAATTATTATTACAGTTATGTTTTTAACAAATAAAACTTTATTGATTATTTTAACAAAAATATAATGAACATTTTGAATCAATAGTATGCATTAAATGGCATATTCACAGACATTAATTTTAAGTTAAATTTTAAGTACTTTTAAGTACTTTTCACATCATTTTAATTGTATTGTATGTAGTAATGATAACTGTATAATACATACTATGTGATCGCTAACTAAAATATGTATTTAATACTAGTAAATACAAATAAATATGAATACAATTGATAATAAATTGACTAAAAGGCTTGAATTTGCGAATAACTTCATTTACCTAATCGGACAAAAGTCTTATAAGTATGGCTTTCCTAAGTTGAACACACATTATGGGAACAGGAGCTACCATAGAGTGCTATTGGATGTGGTATTGTATGTGGAGCTCATTAAGACCGCACTCGCACTGTATATATCCGATGAGCACCTGGCTACAATTATCGGTGAGTTCACCTATTACTGGGATTTTAAATACCAGTTTCGGTTGTTAGAGGTGTTGGCAATAGTATACATACTATTTGCCAGAATTTACTGCAATTTGAATCATTCAAAAGGCAAATCCCGTAAACTTCTCGGTTTGGATAACAAACTGCTCTTAATATCACCAAAGCTCCAGAAATACATGCAATTGATTCACAAACAAATATGCTTGGTTACCATGATTATACCCACAACGTTGCCATTCATACAATATTCACTACACTATACCCTGGTCAATTTACTCACATTCGGCTTATTCTGGAGTATATTATTTGGGTTAGGGTTCGGCTATCTATGGGTTTTATACATATATCACATCGGATTCTTCATCGGTTTCTGCTATCGATCCAAACTACAGATCAAACTATTGAACCACAGACTCAGCAAATATATTCACAACCAATACTTACCATCAAATCAACAGTTAATCAGATTATTGTCAACCCATAACCAGATCTGCCAAATGGTCTACCAATTGAACGAAGCTTGGTCATTCATTTTACTATGCTTTTGGTTTGAATTCATAGCATCCATAGCCACTCTATCCATACAAATGTTTTCACCGAATATGGACCCAATTCTGGTGATAGTGTTTGCGATACTAACCATCGATGAAGTGGCGGCCATATCGAGTATATTACTGTTCGCGAGTTCAGTCAATACTGAGTCCAAACAAACTCATCAATTGTTTCACAGTTTGTATTCATTGATAGCTTTCAGTAAAACTAAATCCGCGATCACTACTCACAACAGACTTAAAGTAATGTATAATTAATGAATTAAAAAAACTAATTTTAAAACTATTTTCATTCACTTAAACAGTTACAGGCATTAATACACATGACATCCAAACGTCAAATTGGTTTCTACTGTTGGAAATTGTTCCTGATCAATCAGTTTGCTTATTACGAGGTCTGATAATAGCATTAAATTTAAATATTATTTTTATTACCGCTAATTATCTTATTTGTAAATTGCATCCAGTTCCTATGGGTATCATCGGCGTTCACTTTGAAAATGTTTTCCACATTTCTATAACTAATTTATAAGTAATAAACAATTCATCACAAAGTGTTTGTGAAAATTACAGCAAATATTATATTAATACTTATCAAACATTTGAGTTAAACATACATTTAATGTAATCTAAAGTCAAAAACCAAACGTCGCTTATATTATAAACATATGAATAAAT